CCCACCTGTAGTTTCCTTTAGCTTGATTGGAGGTTTGGGGACTTAGGGTTCCGAGTGCGGCTCTGAGATCCAGGCGGTCTTGTAGAAGTCTGTGCAAGAGGGTTCCGGGAGTTCGGATTGGTTCAGAATTTAGAGCCGTTTAGGGTTTTGGAGGCCATGGGTCCAGCACTCACAGCCTCCTAAGGTCAATGGCTCTCCGTGAGCTGTGGCTCAGCCTGCGTGGCTTCCACGCCACGGGAATCAAAGTGAGCAAGAGACACCCCGGCCCTGGGCTGAGCCGGCCCCTCCCCTGCCACACCTGTGTACAAAGCTTGACAGAGAGTGCAGTGTAAAGATTTTGTGTGTCCGATTTCTCGGACGGAGAAGCTGTCCAAAGAAGACAGCCTGGTGTAAAGCCAACCTACGCGCGACTCACAGTTCCACGCCCGCCTGCCGAACGCCAGAGTCGATGCCTGTCTGTGGGAGGTTTGGACCTGTCTTCTCTCTCAGCCCGTAGTTGGGTATTGCCGTGATGTGAGTAGGCTGACGGAGGATTGTAGTGACATTAGCAAGCACTGGCTTGTTACTAAGCTTGTAGAAATTTTGGTGCTCTCTCCTGTCAAGGCACCGGTGCCCACTGCGCCAGTGCCGCTTGATCCGAGGCGCGGGCTAATCGAGTTGGCCAGTCTAAGTCCAGAGCGCCTTTTGTCTTCGGAACAGGTCCGTTTCACGAACTTCCCTGTTTGTCGACCTATGTGCTTGCATTGATGCACACAGAGTCGGACCACGAGTTCTCTGTCAGTCTGAAGCTGAAGCTCTTGTGCCTACAACATCCCTGCGATGGTGTGTTCAAGCTCCTTGTTCGAGGATCTGTTTTTAGAAAACCCATGCGTAGCTCTAGATCCAACTCAGACCGAATGCCCCAGACACCTTGTACCATTTTTTCAGTCTTTTGCCGACGCCATGGCAGTGCTAGAGATGGCGTCTCGGGTGTTGCTGGTAGCTGGCATGGGAGCCCTGTTGCCGAATCTGAAGGGAGGCAGCCTTACAAAGCCTCTCTTTGACTCGGGGGCATGCCATGATGCCATCGCCTCCGGTGCGAGTTGTCAGGTTTGCGAAACCAAGTTCAAGCATTGCAAGGGCCACTACGTCTATGAGCCCTTCACTGTCGTGCTGTTTGAGGCCATGGTCACTGTGGCCCTGGGCGTGCTGGCAACACTTGTTCTGATGCCGAATCGACCGGCAGCTTGAATGTTAAGACTTTTGGTTTCAGTCCGTGCTACCAGACTGCCAGAGCGAATAGTCCCGCAACCCTAAACCCTCAACGCCGTAGACCTCTCGAAATCTATGTTGATTTGCATGCTTTCTAGGCAGTCAAGCAATTGCTCGACTGGCGCTCCATCAAGATCGTCTTGCCTGTCGGAGCCGAGCAAATGTTGAAACGGTTTCAGTTTCGAGCGTGTGATGATGTTGGACAATCTTGTTGATCAGCACAAGGGTTGACGGAAGATATCCTAATTTTCTTTGTTTGCCACGGAACATACCGTAATTCTACCTTGTTGAAGGTACTTAAACTGGTGCAAGGCTCTGTTGGTGTGCCATTCCAAGGCCCTAAACCCTGAACCGTAAACCCTAAAGGCAGGGAGCAGACTTTGCCAGGCTTGTCCGAGTGTGAGTGTCAAAAAAAGGCAGTCAGTGGGATGGTTCTGTGATATTGATATTTCTTTGACATAGCTTTGACTAACAAGCACAAAGAAAACACAGCAAAAGCCAGTGATGTCAATACTGAGTACACTTCTTGATTCTTTCCGAAGCAGACCTCGCCGTGAGCATAGTTTCTCAACAATGCGAGACGGAAAAACCCGCAGTGCAAGACCTATGATTATGAATCCGTGCCTGCCGTTGCGAGTGTGCGAGTCGAAGCCCTTAAACCCTAAACCCATCTGAACGCATCAAGCAGCCACGCCCTATGCGAGGAGCCACTTATGCCATAGGCGACCTCATGGACCTGGCTGCTGCCCGCAACTGGGTCTGGGGTTTAGAGGTTTATTGTTTTGGGTTTAGGGTTCACGTTATTTCTTCAAAGTGACCAGGACCAGGAAATACATTGTGACTGACTCTTTCTTTCTCTTTCTCTCTCTCTCCCCCTGTAATTCTTTATTTGTATGTATATATATATATATATGTATCTCCCTCTTATGATAAGTGAAGTAGAGTGCAACAAGAACCCAGGCAATGTGTCCGGCACCACGCTGCTCGTGGCCGCCCAGCTCAGGTTGCCACTCTGTGCGTTGCTCAGATGTATCTTGCTCAACCGCGGTCAAACTTGGATGCAATGGTGGCTTGGACTCAGTGTACGGTATTTGTTTTTTTGGGTTTCGGTCAGGTGTTGGGTGTCCTGCGAACGCGAAGGAAAAGACACTTCGCAATGCTGGCTTATCGCTAGCATGCAGGATTTAGGTTCATGTGCATCTGTGCACCTGCTTGGATTCATGGTTGTTTTTCGCACAGATGATTGTGCACGTAACGCATGCATCTGCATGAGAACATGACAGTTTATGGACATCATGCATGTAGTTTAATGTGCTTGCAGACAGCGTCTTTTCTTGTCGACGCACCTTCCCAACATTTCAGCACCTATAAATGCATTCTGATGCACGGAGCCACATGGGCTAGATAGTTAGCCTGTGTATACATACATGACATACATACATGACATTTCCTCACACACTTACACGCATGCTTTTCACTTTTCACTTTCCTCGTTGCAGAAGATCCAGCTTCGGCTAACGATGCTAGGACAGGCAATAAGCCCGGCACTAATGGCTGTGCTTTGCACATCCCTCCTCTTGTGGAGATCCTTCGGCACGTATGCCCATTAGCAAGGACCCCTGTGGTCAATCAGTCAACTTGTAAATCAGCATGTAAACATCAGGATAGAATTGCATAATAGAGGCATCGTCCACGGGAGTCGCGGCTTCGCCATCATCCGCTAGCCAAAAGCGACTTGTATCAGCCCCGCAGAGCAACGCCTGATAATGACCACTATCAGGAGTCAGTCCTTTGTGTACCAAAATCGAGCACAGGTGGTAGTTGCTGTGATTGACATGAAGATCATCAGCGAACACAGGAAAGCGAAGTTCAATGTCGGGAACAACCGCAAACCTACGCTTCGTAGCTCTGCCATGACTACGATCAAAAGCAAATCTACCCACCTGGATCACGAGAAGCTGAGGAGCCGTCAGCGCGGCATGCATGGCCTCTTGTAGGTGCCACGCATCTACCATTTCCTGAACTGAAACACTGTACATGTCCTCCTGGAGCCGGGTTTCCGGTGGCTGGATCAGTAATGGTACAGATGTGCCCCCATCCATGCCGATGTACGACCCACTAGATTGGGCCCGGGCCTGCCAGTGGACCTCTAGCTTGGCTCTCAGCTCAGCTTGCTTACCCAGGAAGAATTCAAGGAATTCCACCCCATCATGTTGCTGGGACGGTCGTCGCCATCCCTGCATTGTTGCCACCCAAAATGGGTGTGCCCATGGAGCTGTGGCTCCGTCTTGCTGCAGCACCCCCTGCACAAACCGAAGCATCCCCCCTTGGAACCAGGCCTGTAGGTTGCCCTGTGTCAATGCAGCGAAGACCACACACTTCAGCGTAGCATTGGCATAGCATACATTCCCCGTGTTGATCAGCCGGAGCCGGATCACTGCGTCAGGGCAGCAATGCGTTGGCTGAGAGCGCTTCTGTGCATGTGTTCTCGCCGTACGAAGACCCCGGCTGCTATCCATACGCCCGACCGCTCTAGCTGGTACATCCGCTTCCACAGTGCCTGTGCGGCTTCGGTCCTCATGCCCACCTCGAGCATCATGGTAAGCGTGGGGCCCTGGTACTCCGCAGCCAGCTTGCGAGTAGCATGGTACCGGGCGATCACCAGCGGCTTCGTGCACAAGAGAAGGATCTCCTGCAGGGCCTCCCGGACGGTCGTGATGGGCACCTGGGCAACCTCCGGGTCCTCGACGTGCTTCCGTTGCTCCGCATCCCATCTGAGTCCCGGTATGGCATCCTCGTTCTTGTTGAGCAGGCCCATCTCGATCGCCGATGACCTCGAAGACGGCGTCTGCAGCATCTTTTCGAATTGTGCTGCCACCGTTTTTACCAAATGTTGAAAGAGAATGACCCTCATCGGGGACGTAAGCTTTTCCGGCGTGTTGGCCTTCATGTTGTGCCAACTTTGAGCCATCATGTGGGTCGTCTTCGCCAAGCTCTCGGGGACCCCCGTTTGGATAAAGACAACGAACCCCGAATCTTGCCTGCCTATCATGATTTGATGTTCGTGCCTGATCACCAACTTCGCTATCATCCGCAGCGCTGCTTGGTAGTCTTCCGAGTTGTCGATCACCTGGTTCTCCTCGCTCCATGGGTCGTGGCCGCGGTGATCCGCGGGGGGAGGCTGGTGACTCTGTCCCCATTGGTGGCCTCCATGCTTGGGCTGCCCCCAAGAGCCGCCGTAGCCGTTCTTGTTGTCCTTCCACGACTGGCCTCGGCCTCCTCGACCTTTGCCCTGCGCACCCTTGTTGCCCTGGAGGTCGCCCTTGTGGTACTTGGTCTGTGACTCGCCCTGCGGTCGCTCCGCATCGCCCACTTTCTCCGTCCTTTGTCCCTGAAAGCCCCATGGGGCTTGTGACGAGTTCATCGCCGGTAGGGCCGAGGCCGAGGCACTGCTGAACCCTGGTGAGGTCAGACTCTCCAGCATCTGGAGTTCCTGGGTGGCGTCCTCCAGCTGCTTGGCCGTGGTCTCGGTCTCCATGGGCGCAAGTCCCGTCATGGTCACTGAGTTCTTTCAGCGACTTACCACGCGCAAGCCTGCAGTACAAGTAGACTCCTCGGAAGATGCCCACACAGGACTTAAGGTGAGCTGATTTGCGCTGGTACTTGACTCCACAGTACGAGCAGGGGTTGCTGAGACTCAGGTTACTGGCAACGATCATGCCCTCACACTGTTCAATGAGCCTGGCATGTTCAGCATGCTTCTGGAGCATGTGTCTTTTCACATACTGCGGCTGTGTCACCCACAAATTGCACTCCAAGCAGTGATGTTTTCGGGCCAGGATCTTGGGATGTAGGGCCAAGTCCTTCCATGAGTAAGCCCCGGCAAGACGGACGATTTCCGCATCTTCTATGAGTGCTTCGTTCATCTCAGCAGCAATGACTTGTGAGGGATCCTTAGCATCCAGGGCCCGGAGCTCGGCACAGCTCCGCGAGTTGATGTGGTAGAAAAAGGCATGCCGCGTTGTGAAGGGCTTCATGCAATGACGACACGTGGGCATGCCATCAAGGGCATGCATCATGAGATTCCCCTGGTTGCAACGACGATTCTCCTGGATAATGCGGAGCTGTGTGTCCTCATCCATATGTTGACGAAACATATGTCTCTTCAGGGCCGCTTGGGTACCGTAGTACTGTCCGCAAACATCACAGGGGAAGACTTCAGAGAGGATGTCAGTCACGGCTTGTAGTCGGCATTTAGGTTGAGTGAGGTGACCGGTACTGGTACCACAAGCATCACCCGCCTCAAAAATTTGCCCTCTCACAAGGTGTCGCCATTGTTGTTGATCTGATCCTGGCATCAGGGGTTCAGGTAAGCTGGCGTCTGACTTTTGCCGACGAACAAGAGACTCATGTAGCCTGTGCATCGGATGTGGTAGCCGAAGCCGGGTCGCTAGCGCCTGATTCGTCTCATGAGTGATCATGCTAAACGACTTCGCGATGGATTTGGCCTGCTTAAAGAAAACTACCGCATGCACACATACACACATACATGAATGCATGCATACATGCATGCATTTATACATACATACATACATACATACATACATACATACATACATACATACATACATTACATAATCATGTATCTGTGTGCTTGTATACACATATACATGCATACACATACGCATTCATATCACGCGCATATGTTGTGCATTCGTCAGTTGCAGAGAAATGTCCTTGCGTCTTGCATGTATGTAAGTATGTATGTATGTATGTATGTATGCATGCACGTATGCATGCGCCTATGTATGCGCATAATGCATGCACGTGTGTATGTATGTATGCATGCATGCATGTACGTATGTATGTGGCTATGGCTCAAGGATGTCAGATGAGAGAGAGCATGTCCGATTACTATGAGGGCTTCCATAAGGTGATACTATGTGTCGGAAGGGTCCGTAATCTGTGTCACCGTTATCTTTCTGTTCAACACAGCAGCTTGCAGGAAGGTAGCTTCGGGGATGGCTCGAGATGAGGCCAGGATTGTTGGGAAACCGCCATAAACCTCGCCTGACCTGGTCGAGCGCGAGTGCTAAAATGTATGTATATGTATATATATATATGTATATATATATATATATATACATGTGGATGGATGGATGGATGGTTGGATGTGTGCATGCGTGCATGCATGGGTGCGTACGTACTTGCCCACATACATACATGAGTATGCAAAGAGAGAGAGAGAGAGAGAGAGAGAGAAATAGAGAGAGAGAAGA